TGGCTTGAACATGACGACAGAGATACTGCCCGGTGCATGTGCATAGGTGATGTGTCGGTTTTTCCATATCGGTGTCATTTCACTGGTTTTAATATAGCCTTTAGGGGGTGTGCATTAGACTTACCTATGTGACCTACAAAAGCAAGTGGAGAAGACCCACCTAATTCGGTGTTCATCCCTTATGACGACAGAAACCCAGAGATACTGGGAATCCAGAAGACAACTATTGAAATACTGTTAACTGTCCTAAGGCCTATATACATGTTCCTCCCCACTCCCTTGTGAAATCCGAAGTCAACTAAGGGGCTAATGATAAATATCATAAAACCTGCCATTTGAAATAATAATAATAATATAGCCATTAAACTTGCTCCTATTGTTTTACGGAAAGTATCGCTTAATGATTTCATCGATCAACTTAGACTTGAAGCATTGAAAGAACCCCCATTATTGTGCGTATGAGGACTTAATTTTTTTGCACTTAAAATTTCAATAAATGGGCTTTAATCCGTCTACCGTTCTTTATTTTCTCTTTGTTGTAGGATGTTATGAATTTGTGCCAATGGACAGTTCAATGCGATTACCAAACAAATATGACTGGGTCCTGCTTAGCCTGGTCACAAGTGAGTTCTAATTATCCTATACTAAATTATTGTCTAATGATTAGTAAGCGAGCGGTCGTAAATCATTGCGTAAGCATAAGGTGGGAGATTCAGGTGCAGTCCGTTTCAATAATTGTATTTCTATTTTATGTAGTAGGCCTGAATAGGTAAAACCCGGCAATTCATCGTTAGCACTATATGAGTTAGTAGTTAAGAATTTACATCTCTCACTTTGTTAAGTAGATAATAGTTGTCTTGAAATTATTGCTCTTAATCTTACTGACTTCATTGAGCTAACTTAGTATGGGGTTTTGTCTTGTAGCCTAAGTCTTCGTCTTTAAATCATCCTTGCATTATACGGATTTATATACATTATGAGTTGAAATATGTGAGTTTTTGAAAATCAAGATTAGAATTTGAAGAGGTTAACCTAAGAAAGTCCAAATTTATCCTGATTACGGGCGACATTTCGTTCCTCATTTTTCTTTGAATTTCACTTTGGTGTATTGGAGGTGGTTGTATTAGACTGAAGCTTATTTTGAAGCCTAGTTGGAAATTGGGTTGGTTTGTATAGCATCAATTCCCATCCTTCTTTTACATTTTTTTCATAACGTCCGATATGGTTGTCAAAACAAAAAGTATTCACGAGAAGGCACCAATTAGAATGAGATTTCGACGTCAGTAAATTTTTTGTCAGAATTAAGTGCGGACTAAATTGATACAAACTTGCAAGTAATCTGTTTATACAGTTTATATTATTTCAATTGGTTAATTAAAATGATCGTTTAACGGATTTTAATTGCTTAAAACTACACTAATCGACAGTCTTGTGTAAAATAGCAGGAATGAATTTATGGGATATTTCTCATCTCAAACGTATGCACTTGCATTCCTGAGTGGGACTGAAAATGTGCGACCCTTATTCGATAGAGATAGTCAGAAAGCTTTGCTTATAATGTGACACATTGCTAGTGTTGATCTATAAATCATTTTTTTTCTCTAAATGTAATGTACTGTAATTTTTGTCCAAATCTGAGGTAAAAATGCTGTTCATTCGTGCATAATGCCATTATATGCTACGATACGAAGTACTGCTCTGCCATTTGCGCTCACTGATATTTGATTTCATTCTTTTGCCAATTTATCACGACTACAACATTTTTCAAATTTGAATACTTTCCTTTGCCTAGTGTTTGCGTTCGAAGGGAGAATCAGGTTGTGACTTAAATCTCACAATTGTTGCACTTTAATTTATCTCTTTTAGTCTCGATTAAGTCCGCCACTAATAGCAGTAGGCAGCGCTTCTTTGGGCGACAGTCAACATCCAGGTGAAGTAGGTGAATTGAATCACTTATCGGGGCAAGAGTCTGAAGTTGCACCCAATCACGGCAAGCTTATCCTCCTTGAATACAATGAGAATTCTCGTCGCTGGAGTCTAGTCCAAGACATCGTGGACATCAAGGATTCTGTATATGATGTAGCCTTTGCCCCCAGTATGGGCCAATCCTATCAAGTGCTTGCTGTTGGTTCTGAAGGCCTACTCATTCTACTTGTCCAATCCGTCTCTGCTCCACAAGTCGGTAGGTGTCGAAATAACTACTACTTATAACCTACTAATAGGTGTTATTTTATCTTATTTTATATTCTCATAGCTGAGGGCGGGGTTAATACGCCTGGCGTATACAATGTCTCAGTGATGGCACGATTTGAAAATAATGGTGGTCGCGTGTCTCGAGTCGCTTGGAACTTCCAAGGTTGGTTTTCTTTCACACTTTTGAATTTGAGTTAATAACAAAATTATGTCCACCTTTTGGACACCCAAATGTTTAGTCTACGTGTTGAGGTTTACTATATGCACGTATGAAAGTTTGATTTTAAGCCAATCAATGCCGAAATTTTACTATATTATACAAAGTGCTGAACAATTATGCCGATGGTTTATTTGCAATATCAAACCGTTCTAAAATTTATTTATTTATTTCAAATGGCAGGTGTTTTGATAGCTATCATTAGCCATTTAGCTAACTTCGGGCTTCACAGAAGGAAGGTTCATCAAAGTAGAGGAAAGTCGAGGGATGGGGAACAGAAGAGCGATTCACAGATGTAAAAGAGGCAGACAGACACAAAGGTAGAGAAAAATGTAAGACGAGTACTGTGAAAGGGGCCGAATATGACAAGCAGTCGGGCCATGGTAGTTTGAAGTCAGAAGTCAACTGCCGGTTAATAGACTTTTTTGCCGTATGAGTATACGTTGCCCAGGGTGCACCACGTGGAGGTAAGTCTATCGCAAACCCCCCCCCCGTTCTAAAACAAATGCATTCAATAGTAATTGATGTGCATCCAACGAACGAAATGGTCAATCATCCTTGTTGGTACTGGTCAATATGGAACTTGCAGAAAGACCTATGGATATTAATGTAGTGCCATACGGCTACACATGAAACTTAGGATGAGGTTATGTAGTACCACTGCCATAATTTCTCTGTATGAAAGCAGTAGGCTTATAATTCATTATCTTTTTCATTAAGGACATGCATCTATATGCAACGCGCGGTTAAATAGTTCCAGGATTAGCCGGTAACTTGACACTGAGGTTCCATTTCCATGCTTGGGCTTGGAAAATAGTAATCAATCCACCCGTTATCTAGAGGAAAAATTCGTTCACAGAATTTTATAACTTCTGTCCAACTTTTTTTCGAAAATATTTTACTATTTATTCTTTGAGACGCTTAATTTGTTTTTTTTGTTTACTTTTTGTTTTGCCACTTATAGCCAGTAAATAATTTGTCGGGGGGGGGGGGGGGTGATCGGTTTAGATATCTTGACGATGTTTAGCTTTGTGATGATCGACGCTTTAATAAAGTGTTCCACTTTATGTACTTTGCCTATACCCCTCAAATTATCTACTGTATTGACTTGTATAATATGATGATTACGTTTACCATGACTATTTCCCTATTTTGATTGATTTGTTTTAAATCAGCACTAGGCTGTCTTCGATTTTACTTATGAAAAGGTTAGGTAGTGTTTGGTTTTCATAATAAATATCTTAAACCCTTCATTTATGTTGCCATTGCATATTGTTAAGCCAGCGGTCCCCTGAGGGACTCTAGGGTGCTGTTCCTTTTGCTTCCCATCACAGGCTTGCCAATAATCTTACCCGTAGAGCTATAGGGTTACTATAATACCTTTAACAAAAGCGGTTGGATATCTCTGAGGGAACCCATTTTGGTAGCTACAACACCTGCTAATGATACAGTGTTGAGTAGTAACGAGGAACAGGGGGGGGGGGGGGTGTAAATAGATGGACACATTTATTGAGAGACCCAACTTCTGACTGTTTCCCTAAAATCGGTTCTCCTAAACAAAAGTGGGAAAAGCATAGTTCCAACTTTCTGTTCCGGAATGAAGGTGTTAGCTGTAATTCCATAGTTGAGAATTTGCATATCGTTTATATGATAAAAGAAATCCTGTTTATATAGCGTGGTGAAGGTGTACAGGACTAGTTACACGGATTTTTACAAGACATTTAGAGGTCTTTACATCGGCCCAATACGCATCGTTTTCTGCAATTATCTATAATCTCTTACAAGCTCTTGAAGACCTAAATGCCTGATGATCTTTGGAGATTGGTCATTTTAATGGTCGTATATCACCTCATAATTGAGTAATTAGAAAAAAGGTTAAGCCGATGCCTCAGTGGCCACTGTGCTCGTATACTTGGGTAGGGGCATGAGCTTGAAAGGACTTTCCAGTTCGCCTACGTGATTTAATTACTTAAATCGATCATTGCGATCTATTTTGTTTTTAATTACTTCTTTTATATATATTACTTTTGAACACTACTCAAATTTTAAAATACATATTAATGAGTCATTTAAAGCCCCAAGTAAGATCAAATACACTCTTTTACTGGAGTTTAGCCCTGTTACAAAGAATACTTTTCGAGCATGAAATTGAAACTCGTTTGATTTCCAGGGTTTTCGTTACATTATGCTCATTTTTGGATGTGTTTGATTTCGTGCGCCATAATGTAAACTCAGTTTTTTTATCCCCGCGAACTAAAGGTATTCAGTTTTAGTTTGGCCGTTGGTTTGATTAGTAAATTTCGATGTGATCTTAATTAAAATAACTCGAAAGAAGGTTTATCGTCGTGTGACTAGGTCCTTCAATTTAAATGGTATTATGAGTCCATTTATTTTAAGGTTGTATTTATAATACGTATTAAACAACAGAAAATCCAAATATATCCCAAGGAAGACTAAGGGTTTTTCTTAATTAGCGTATCTTCACTCGGGCATTATTTGATTTGAGCAAGCAACTGTTTGAAAAACCTTTCTCGTGTGATGTAATGTGATTAGTGCCTTTTTGTTGGAATCAACGCTTTGCTATGACCTGCATCTTAATAAGTCTCCAAGTGGTGATGCTACGAAGAATTATATTTTAACATACCGAGTATGTATGCATTGGCAATAGAGTAAGCGGGATTGTAGCGCAGTTTCCTTATCCACGGCTTGCGTGCATGCATAATAGAGTGGGCTGCTGTTTCTTTTGCTGTCTTCCGCGAGTTCATGATACCAGGCTTGGGGGTGGGGTAAGGGGGCGGGAATGGGTGTGAAGGGGATAGCACTACTTACTTCCCCTCCGTCGTTGTTTCGACCGGAAAGTTAAAGTCTGATGCGGTTCTGTGGACTTTACCTAATTGTATGGTGACTGTGAAGATTTGTAGCATAAATGAGTGATGTCGGTGTTCTCTGTGTGGCCATTATGCACTTATAGACTTTCATATACGTTTATTACCTTGGTTTTAAAATTGATGATAGTGGAAATTAAAGACAGTGGGATCGGGCAATTCTTTAGAGAATCATTCAATCCAAAACATCCTTGCCAATTGAGCGTTCTAAAGAGGTATTGAGGACTAAGTGACATTGTCCATTACTTGATCCCGACCAAAAAATACACTTTCATGACTGAAATCGTCAAAATTCGCTGGCTCTTTTTTTTCTAATGAATTTACTTCAACAGCATGTATGCCCGTGACTTTTAAGAGTGATAGTTGTCATTTTTATCAAATTATCTTCTCAGGTATGACATGTCAGGGGGGATTTGATTAATTCTAATCTACAAAAGAATTGGCAGGATACGAGTTTACCATAACAGCGGGTCCTAGTTACGCTTTTTCTACTTACTTCAAAGTGTTATCCACGCCGTACTTAATTACGTTGAGGATAAGTATCAAATGAAGTCGTTATGTAGTCAATTCTCTATCGTGTATTATTAACCCACAAAGCATAGATAACTCGACTTCATGAAAGTAAAATACTGAGGAATACATAATTTCCCGTTATTTTTCTACGGGGTTATTCATGTCACCACATAACTTGGCAATCCTGTTCTTCAAACAGATTGCAACCATATAATCTATTTTGATGCGCATTTTCGTTGGTATAAGATAAGAACTATTTTTTAACCTTATTATAAATACATATTTTACTGTTCAATTCTTATTTTCGCTATCAACTTAATTTGACCATTTTTTGTTAATAATTACCAATAATATTCCCTTCTCACGCCATTTGTCAGCGTTTTATTTAGTAGAACCATTGCAATTTATCGTCAATTTGGTAGTGGATCTAAGAGGTATACTATCAATGGAATCCCTTTAAACGCACCGTGGTAGCCAATGGCTTAGCGTAAAATTGGGGAGCACATTAAGCTACAGTTGAATCGATCATCCTCAGTGGCTTTGTCCTTAAGAGATGAAACGGTGTGAGATCTATTAAGTGTTTACACATCAGCAATGGAATAATGTGGAAAGAGAATAGTAGAAAGCGTGAAAGTTGGTCATCTTTCAACCTTTTCTCTAATCCCACCACCCCCCTCCCCTTATTCTCCCCTTCCTCAACTTTTTTATACGAAAGTGTGTGTGTGTGTGTGTGTGTGTGTGTCTTCATTAGGCGTAAGAAACTGGGCAAATTGGACTCACGCTTTCTCCCATGCATAACTAAGGTAAGGGGAAGAGAGGGCGAACATGGGTATGTTGCGTGCGCTCACTATCCCCTTAGCGAGTATACTACAATGTGCCTTGAATTATTAACACACTCGAGTCCACTTGTGAACCTCCCCCCCCTCATTGCCTTCCCACTGCTACTGCTGCTGCTACTAATGCCCCAAATTGAAGGGGACGCTTGGCGGCTCGGAACTACTGCTCTTAATGACTGCTCGCTTTTATTTGGAAATATTCTTGCTTGCTCATATTTAATTGATTAAAGATTTATCTTTGATAAGGGGAAGTGAGCACATTTTGAAATCGGTTAATTCGCTTTTACGGTGTTTATTCATTTGTTTTTTTTTGCTACAAAACGTAAGCTCCACGAAGGAAGTAAATAATAATACATGTCTCTGCCTAATTTTGTATCAGTAATTCTCTTTCTGAGGCATCAGTTGTATATCTACATATATAAGCTTTGTAAGAAATGGCAATGGTGATCATTGTTGTTTGCTCTACCCGTAGAATAGAGATTTTGCCGATAATTCAAAAGCGTTGATTTTTCCCTTTTGTCTCGTGCGAATTTTATTAGACCACGATACAATTTGTTGAGTGTTGATGCCACTTCACTTCTCACCAAAATAAGGTGATAAGGGTTGAGTTACTGTACTCGCACTGGATTACGACGTGATAGAGTCGTGGGAAGGGGAAGTGTGAATTTGCACCGTTACATATAAAAGACTAAATTTCTTTTTAAGGGCACTCTATGGTCAAGATGATAAGTAAATCTGCGAGTCATTAGCTGTATTACAGATTGAATAGATACTCTTTCCAGTTCTTATGAGTATATGGATATTTATTGAGAAAATCACTAAATATAATCTAATTTTTGGTTCTTTTTATTTCTCTATTAGGTAACATTCTTGCCTCAGCTGGAGACGATGGTACAGTACGTCTCTGGTGCTCCAACTACCTGAAAGCCTGGTTCCCAATGGCCATTGTCCGTCCGGGCGAGGTTAGTCTCCCTATTCCACCATCTTTCCTCAGTGCAGCAGCTACAATCAATTCAATAGAGCAGTCGCACAGTTTTCTCCGTGGTTCCTCTGCTGCTCAAGCTGCTTCTGCAGCAACAGACAAGCCTAGACAACAGCAACAATCTTCAAATGCTACTGAAATCAGTAGTGGCAATACTACGGCTCCTGTGACAATGTCTACCATCTCTTCGGAAGCCTCAATCGAGTCGGCTTTATCGGCTGGTAAGTGGGCGACTCTGCGCGAAAGCAATGATTGGTGTTGGTGGTTTAGGTACGGTGATTGGACCCAGTGAGACTACTACTGTCGAACCACCAATACAATTTACTGCATGTCAAAAAAGACACTCTCATGTTCCCACTAATTGTGCTCATTTGTCTAGCCAGATGTCATAGGGTCGAAGCCCATCTGTATTCCGTACGCCAGTGACTTATCCATATTGCATATGTTTGTTTAGTTTAAGAGCATGGGTTCGAGTTCTCTCTATGCAAATTTAATCTTTGGAATCACCATCTTTTTGTTAAGAAATCGTTGTTTGGCCAGAGTTTTCACTTTATTTCATTAGCTCAAAATACTTCCATTTGAATTACTGCAATTTTTCTTCCCACTCTTGAAATTTTACGTTGGCCTGCTTTAGTTTGGCTGCAGTAGTTACTATTCACGTACTTACCTGTTCTCTTTAGCTCAAGTGCTGAACCACTCGTGAAATGGGTAGGTGTTTTCGGCGCTTCTTGGCTTTGTTTTTTCTCTATGCCGCCTCCCTCTTCCACTTCGTTTCTACAGAAGAATATAACCTAAGATCTCTCATTCGAGTCGTTTTTATTCTCCTTTATAATGATCCATGTTCATGCCACTTCTGAGCTAATGATTTTGCGATTCCCCTTATTTCTCCACAGTATCCAGAGCCGTCACACACACACACACAGTTCTAATGTCCCTTACCTTTAGATTGCATGCGTTTGAACTCTCACCATTTTCAGTGCTACCATAATTGCTTCATTGGTTTGCTTGTGGTTTGTTAATTTGATTGATTTGCAGTGTTACAAACTCGAAAAATGCCACACCGACTTCCTCTATATTTACTAATAGTAATCTAGGTTTCAACTAGGTGCACTACGGATATTGTTCTAGCATAGGGTAAAAGGATAGGGAGAAGTAATTTTTCAGAAAGATCGTATAAAGCATATGAACTTGACAAACGGGTGCACGGCTTACAAATTAAAATAGATTGAAGAGGAAACTCTGAGTGGTCTTTAAATGAATTTTCAAATTTCGATGCACTGATGAAGAGGTGTTCTTTCTGGGGTCCTCTGCGACTTGTGCTCTTTTATCTTCATTCCTCTTTGAATCTAAATTTCAATAACAAATTTAAACTTCTGCCCATTAGGAATCATTGTGATTTCCAACTTCTTTTGGCAGATTAATGGGACTAAAGCCATGATGAATTGGTTTTTCGCTACCTAAATATTACTTAACAACCAAGCTCGGAAGTAGTAGGCCATATGAATAATACAATTAATTTGTTCTTTCAGACGTCTTGCACTGTCTTCAGTCCACCTCTCCAATTTCAGACGCTCATGCCTGTAAAACTTAAATCTCTCACGACCGGTAAGATCAAAGGTGGCACCTATTAACGCGACTTAACCGCTTTTAAGCTAGTTCAAACACCAAACCACCGTTTATAACCACGGTTATCAATTTCTGACCCATTACATGTTTTTATGGTTAAAATAAAGACAGGCTAGAGCGCCAAAGACTCGATCAATAAAGTTTGGCCAAGATCTCATCGGCATCATGCAGTCCAATAAAACATCAAAGGCTTGTCGGCGTGTCACATATTTTGGACACTTGACCCCTTATGACCTCTCTTGTCTCCCCTTGTAGATCAAAGTGCGTCTGGTTATTGTATACCGCGGGAATTGCTTTGTGTAGAATTAGAGAGCTGTCAAAAGTAGTGTTCAACCCCCAGAATTACTATGTCTCTCCCGTCTACGTTTTATGTTCTACGTATTTCTGCTAAAGATACATAAACTTGCAAGACTCTTCTTGAGGGAGTGGTTAAGGTTGTAGGTTTCTTTTCAGCTAGTTTATAATTTGGCGTGAAAATTCTAACTGCTTCTGTTTCAAAACCGATTGAAAGCGTTAGAAGTGAAACTTATTTTTGGGAATAGTTAGTAAGCCTAAAACATGAGCTAGAAGATGGAAGTTCCATTTTACTTAGCAGTCCAGCCCTCTCTTCTCCCCCGTCCCTACAATGTAAGAATGTCCTACTTCGGCTCATCCCATTGTCTTCTTTTCAGGAGCATGTAGCATACTTTACGATAAAATTATTAACAGGCAATCTAGATCTTGATATTATTTCTGAGATTATCAAGTCAGACTTGATCCCTATCATTTTAATATAATATTAACTATATTTTAGTTCAATTACAAAATCCATTGAGAAACTATGCTATTTACCTGAGACTAATGATAATTCGATGCTCATAGCGCTGGTGAGTTAATTCGAGGTCATTTCCACCGATTGTTTTATTCAAATATGACCACGATTGTGATATCGCTGGTTTAAAGACAAAACATTTAGAAACCTATGAATTCTAATGCATTGCCTACATTCATCTTAAAGGAAAGTAAGGGGTAATCGAATTTTCATTTAAGACCCAGTGTCAAACGGCAATTTCTATAAATTCTTGTTTCACAAGGTCAATGCTCATCGGTGCACTTCCAGTGGGGTGTGTGTGTGACCAAGCGCAATGGTTATTTCCTTTCAATAAAGAGGCGTCATGATACAAACTTCTCGTAAGACAAATTCTAAATTACATTCAATCTACCTAGATTGAGTGTTGGGAACACTTTTCTAGTGGAATTGGAATTTTTTCAAAGCTGATAATGCAGTGGTCCGTGTTTTTAAGGTCCTAGCATCATTCCTCATCTGTACACGCCCATCGTCGTGAATGGCTAACTGTACTGGCCAGCAAGAGGGATGACTGAGTTTGACTTTCTCATTAGAACATTCTTGGTTTGCCTTCAACGCTGATTTTGCCGATGTCAATTTCTGCGACTGAGTATTTCCAACTCGGTCAGGTGATTTTGCCTTGAAAACCGATCAACCGATGTTACCTTTGTTTTATATATTGTTTCACTAGAATTAGATGTATGAATCTGTTATCAATATTATTTGGATGTCTTTGTTCAAGTGCATTGGAGCCTTGCTGTTATAGTACATCTTTTTGAAGTTTCGAATCACCACACTGAAACACAAGTTGATGGAAGAAGTTTTTTATGCTCTCTGGAATTCTTTTTTGTCTCCATGTTTAAAACTATTCGTTGTCTCTGCATGATCATTTAAACCGCTTTTTAATTGTTCACTTTCGCTTTCCCCTTGTCTTGTAGATACGTCGAAACCAGTGAGATTCAAGAAGAGTGGTAGTGTGGTGTATTCGAAAAATCAAGTGGCTTGGCATTGAGGGAGTCAGAGTGATCATCACCACTACCACCTCAAATTTCCATCTGCTTGTATTTTATCGACTTTCACGTTCGAATACCTCCACTCACTTTTTCCTTCTCCTTTCTTGATCCCCCTACCTCCTCTCAATTGGTGTATTTTGCACACGTACATTTCTACTAATAGATTTGTGGTAAGATTGGGCGATATTAATAATTACCTGAGGAGATTTTATTCTTTTGAGGTGGACAATTGAAGGAAAGAGCTATTCGGTCTTGAACCAGTCGAATCAAAATTAGCAATGCTAGTAAAGATGCGGTCAAGGGTTCAAGAACACAAGCTTCCAATAATGAATAAGTAGACAATCGAAATATTGTAAGAAGGGTTGTATTTGAAAGAATAGTTAAATCAAGCCTAGTTAATGCACTAAGCTCAGTGATGGTCTCTCAGATAAACGCAAACTGAAAGCCTCCTTAATACATCAACTCAACAACAACCGACACTTCTTTAAAACACTAGGCTAGTAGCAGAAAACGCGAACACTAACGAAAGTGAAATGCAATCTAACAAGTCTAAAGTAGTCGTAATTATGAGGCGCGTTTTATTGGTGTGGGAGAGCTTACATTTCTACAAAGAGCAGTGCTCCTTGGCGTACATTCATTGAACGCCTCAGCCAACCACAACATAAAGAGTTTCATAACGCCATTTCCCCATTAGAACGGCTTCGAAGTATCATCTATCCAAGTTGAATGCTCAAAACTTAACTTAATGACTGCGGGAGAATTTCCACTCCAGCAATTCAATTTTAATAGAGAGCTTTGTACTTCATTTATTCTAATATGAAGAATATACTTACTCGTTTCTGGGTTGATGTTCCTAGTAAAAATAATTATGAACTACAGGGGGAATGAGATGTTGAAAGTTGATCTGCATCAACTGATGCTTACTTTAACTATATGGATCGGTTCAATACGAGTGCATCTCTCGACTTTCAGGCTGGAATCACATTTTAAGACTATCGAAGTTTGTCGCAAAATCTATCCAAAGATATAGGGTATCTTGTGTTTTAGTAAGATTAAGTAAAACTTCTCTTAATTTCTCCCTTCTTGTCAACAACTGCATTTATTATTAAATGATTTAAAACCTTTTGTGCAGACATCTCTAAGTATCACAATTAAATTAATTCCACAGCACCTTTTGAAGGTTTTTGCAAATAATGGTTACATGAGTCCTATGCATGTGAAAAAGAGCAAATAGTCATCTGTCCGATAATTGAAAGACGGAACTGAGGTGGAAACCAGCATCCTGAGGGTGCTCTTGTGACTGACTTTTAATCTATCGTTCCACGCGATGGCTGACTAACCAGACCGAAATTGCCAAGCGATTGATCAGCATAGAATTTTGGCAGTTACACATGTTGGCTTCATTAGGTGTCTATGAAATTTGGGGAGACCCCAGGAAGTAAACCTGATTTTCCAATATTCCCAAGATTTTGAAATTACTCAATTCTTAAAATGGAATTAAAGAGACACTATTTCATGAGATGGTCCATGTATTTAGCTGAATTAATTAAATATTCAGGAAATAAAGCTGGTAATTCCCATGAAATATCTAAAGAGGTGCGCATCTCCCTCCTCCTTCCCTCCTCATCAAACCACCCAACATGTCAATCATAATGACACAAAATGTCTGCATGCATGTGTGCTGGTACAATTATTAGCCTGTAAATATTAATGCGAGATGCCAAACACCCATTAGAGCTCATCCCTTTAAAAGATGAAACTTTACAGGAAGAAGAATGAAGACAAAGGAAATTTTTAGGATAATGGATAAACAAATTATTTATCATA